AAAAAAAAAAAAAAAAAAAAAAATGCTCAAAGGGCAGAATGGGCAGAGAAGGGAGAAGGCTGGAACGAGTCATCTTGCATTTTCCATGCAGTGGAGCCATAATGCTGGGGCACATGTAGTGGTAGAGAAGAGATTATACAGAGAGGAGAACATCCACTCCTTGGAGTGCCATTGACAGAAAGGTAATAGCAACCATGGCCAGCAGCAATCCATAGTGTGGAGGACATGCAAAAAAAGTGACATCTGACAGAGGAAGAGCCACTAAGCACCAGGATGGGATGGCTGAGAATGCCTGTGCTGCGAAGAGAATGCAGCACGGAGAAGCACCTGCTGACATTGAGGACAGTGCCCCATGGGCCCAGCTACTCAGGGAAGCTAAGAGAGTGCGCCCACCTGCTACCAGGGTCCTGTGATCTGGGCAGAGCCCAGTAGGGGTGGGAAAAGCTGTGCCAGCTACATGTGCCTTCTCCATCACCTGTGCTCAAGCCAGGCAAGGGGTGAAGGCCAGTGGGGTCCCCAAGCTCGAGTACAACAAAGGTCATGCCACTGTGGACAAGAATTAAGCGCATCCCCTCCTTGTCAGGGCGAACAAGGAAAGTGCTCAGATTCTCAGGCTCTGTTACCTATGAAAGTGCTCAGGGAATCAGAGATCAAAAGGACAGGGAGGATTGTCTGAGCTTGTTCAAAGGCCACCATGGTCTCCCTTTGGACCTATTTTCAGCTGCTGCAGGCAGTGAGTTTCATCTGGAATCAGCTGTGCAGGCTCCTAAAGCTGACAATGCCATCAGCCTGGCTAGTAAGTGCCCCAGAGACAGACCATCGAGTTTACCAGGGTCCAGGCAGGACTCAGCACCTTCCCGAGTCTCTGATCATTTTCAGTGACTTCTCATGTCCCCTGAGGGAGAAATATGCTCCCTTTGCCCTGGCTGAGATTTTCATTTGTCATTTTTTTTGTTAGGCTGGCTGGCTACCAACACAAGCTCCTCCTCACTAGAACCAGTACCTCAGCAGCTTGCCAGAGAATGTCCACATTCTTATTCTTCCGGGCATGGACGTTCTGACCCAGAAACCGCAACAGCTCTGGCAGGCAGGTCTGACTCCGGGACCGAGGTAGACCTGAAAGGGAAGAGCCATGGGAGCAGGAACAGCACCCAGGACATGGTGCCTGACTGTGGAAGCCGCCTGAGCATTCAGGTTTAGAGCTGAAGTAGGGAGGAAAGCATTTAGCAATTGTACAGGCTACTAGGATGGTGAACCCTTAAATTTGACCACTGCCACATCAGGGGTCATCTCCAAAGGGCAGTCACTTCATCCCCTTCCAGCTCTTTCCACCACAAAGCTTCTTGTAAGTACTCATGCCAAGGGAAGCAGTGGGAGGCGATGAGGACAAGCCCCTGCCAGGGAAGCAGGACACTTGGGCACTGGGTCTCAACCAGAGGGCCTGACAACCTCCAGGGATCTGGAGAGCTCAGCCTCCTCCAGGGGGATACCAGCCACACCTGGAAGAACATGTCTGGCCCTGCTCTCTCTGCAGCCTTCCAGGCTGGGAGATGATAACATCAATCCCTCACTCTCCAGCTTCAGCTCCCAGGAGCTGCCACGAGGTGGCTCTCCTGCCTGCCCTGCCCAGATGGGCACCAGGTGAGAGGGACATCTCAGCCCATGTCTCACAGAGTCCCCTGGGCTACCAGTGGCCTATATTCTCTCAAGTCCAACCAGCTTGCTCTGCTGGGTGAGCCTGGAAAAAACAGCTGATCCCCTCTTCCCAGCTGAGCACTGCCAATAAGAAACCTGTCTGGCCCTGAGACCCTGGGCCACAGTCCCTCCTAAAAGGACAGTTGTCTCCAATGTCCAAGCAACCACTTCCCATCTGCACATGGGCACTAACCCCAGCATTGCAGGATGTTGTGGGATTGGAAATATGTGTTCGGCCCAGCCTACCCATGACCCACAGATGTTCATGGAACTACTATTTTTGCCGCCAGTTCTAACACTAAGATCCTGTGTACCTTCCAAGAGAGGGCAAAGGAGCCAGCCTAGCATGCTCTCCTCCCTCTCTGGAGCCCATTAGGCTCCCATCATACCCAACTCCAGGGTGGACAGTTCTCCTCCAGGTAGGGCTAAGGTCTCACTGACCCTCCATCCTGTCTCACTTTATACAGGGCAGGTACTAAATGAACACACTAGGCTGCACTCAGAACATGGACCAGCAAAGACTGTGCCGAGCTCCCTGGGATCCTCCCTGAGTTCTATGGCTGCCAGAGTCCAGTCTGTAGCGTTTTCACTGGGGCACAGAGAGCCATGCAACAGTGGAACAACTGCTGGGACCTCCTGGGGACACAACAGGGGTCCTCTTGCCCCAAACAGCCAGCAAGGAGATCTTCCCAGCATTTCCACTCCAAGCACCATGGAGGAAGATGCACAGGCAGCTCGTAAGATAAGCTGGGTGGGGCTCAAGCCAGGCAGAGTCTGAGCAAGTGAATGGCTCTGTGTGTGTGTGAAGGAAAAGACAGCTCACATATGCACACGTGTATGCATGCAGACACTTGGCAGCAGGGCAAGCAGAACATCCAAAGGGACAAGACAAGCAGGCGAACCCACTGCAAGTGGAGGAATACTTACAATCCTCAGGCAAAACTTCCTTAAACTGCTCAAAGTAGGAATTTAACCGCACCAAGCTCTCCACATTGATGACTTCTTGTAAAGATGTATCCCCAAACCTTGGGAAGGTAAGGAGACACTTTTAGTCAGCCTGTGCCACTTTCTTGACACAGAGTTGCAGAAAAACTAACAATGGAGAGTCTTTAAGACATTTATCATGCACATCTAAATGTTAAGTTATTTTCCCCTCCTGAGCATGAAGCTATCCCCACAATGCTGGGACCAGCTTAAATGACCTTTGTAGGCAGCAACCATAAAGAATGACAGATGTGCCTAAGGCACTTTCAGAGCAAAGTGCATGCCAGACCCAAAGATGGAAAAGCCTGTACGGTACTGCACAGGAACTCCTGCATACAGCCACTCGGCTCAGAGTCCCAGTGTCCTCCTGTCTCCAAGGTACTGAAAAGAGGGGACGGCAATGGCCCTGGACTCAAATCTAAAGTCACCCTGTCTGCTGAACAGACACCCCTGACCACCACCCTCCCCAGCTGCCTGAGGCCCTTGCTCTGCCTCATAGGCTGTGATGGGTCTGTGCCGAGTGTCTAAGGGAGGAGATGCGTTTGCCACCTGCGAGGAAGGCATTCACTAAACAAAACAGACTCTCCAGTTCAAGAATTGGTCCCCACCCAGGCCTCTGCTTCCTGCTGCACCACCTACCTCAGCATCAGCCCCTTTCTGTCACTGTTTTGTGGTTCTGAGCATTGAACCAGGGCCTTGCAGTATGCCAGGCAAGTGCTCTAACACTGAGCTCCACCCCTGACCTTGGTGATTTCATTTTATTGCGACATTTTATTCTTACTAAGTTGCCCGAGCTGGGCTCTATCTCTCCATCTTCTTGTCTCAGCCTCCCAAGTAGCTGGGGTTACAGGTGTTTGCTGTCATGCCCAGCCATCATGAGCATCTTTATGGTTCTATGATGTTCCTCAAGGGGCAGGACTCACTCTTCCTCTGGGTGTTCGTTCCTTTAGAGACATCACTGTTATGACTTCCTCCTCGAAGTATGATCGATTCTGCCCAGAAAACCCAGTTCTCCTGCATTCTAGGAGGAAACAAACCAACCCCTCCCCCACTGTGTTTCCTTCTCCACCACCAGTTGCCTGCCTCTGCCCTTTCACAGCTACTCAACAGCCACAGGATGTGGAGAAGTCAGTGTCCGCCCCACCAGGATACCTCCATACCTCGTGCTCTACTCCTCTGAGGGCCCTGCTACCTGCTGGAATGTGAGCCTCCTCCAGGTCCTCCTGGTCTTATGCCTGACTGGAGACCAAACCCTGCCCCTCACCCCCTGCCACCTTATTCTCCTGGCCCCTTCTCAATATCTACACTTTACAATGCCCCAACACAGGGCCGTGCCTCTGTCCTGGTCTCTCTCCAGCAAACCCCCACCATGTACTCCCTTCACAGCCTTTGGACCCACTGCCAGTGACGAGGCCTATAGGACAGGTAAGTCAATGATGCTCTGCCCTTGCCAAAGCTCCTCCACACCTGCAGCAACCACAGTCTCTTACGGGCCCAAGCACAGGGACTGCTGGGTCAAGAGTCTCTCGTGCTGGAGACTTTTCTCCTTCTCAGCAGGAACTTTAAAGATACTGTTTATACCCAAAAACAGAGCACATGAGCATGAACAATATGCAGGACAAATTTTCATGTACTCATAGAAAGCTCAGCCCTTCCATACTGCCCCACATGCATGTGCACACAGGCACACACACAACCCATGTATGCAAACACATGACTCCTCTCCGCTACAAGCCAAGTGATCTTGGAGGAGTTGATATGGCACAAACTTTTAGGATCAAGGGCTAACTCTTGGCTGCACCCATGAGGCCGTGCTGCCCTGCCTCCCAACCCCTGCGCGAATCCTGGCCCCAGTCCCAGCACAACTTCTCCCAGCACTGGCCTCTGCTCAGTCTTCCTGGCCTGGGACGCCTTGGCTCTCCTCCTCTCTCATCTAACTCACTCCTGCTCATACTCCAAAGCCCACTTTATGGGCTAAAGGTGTAGCTCAGTGGTAGACATTTGTCTAGCATGTGGGAGGTCCTAGGTTCAATCCTGAGCACACACACAAAAAATTTGAAAATAAAAATAACCCACTTCCCACGTCCCCTGTAGCCTTCTTCACAGACCCTTTCAGGCCACACTAGGCAACCCTGCTCAGGACCCCTAACCCCTGTACTTCTCTCCATAGTGGCACCCATCTCCCTCTTTCTCCCACCAGCCAGAGTCTGAGGACAGAGCCTGTGCCTGGGGCATTTCCGTGTGAGTGCTGAGAAGGCTGTGCTGAACCATCTCCAGGAGGCAGGTGATGAGGCCCACACAGAACAGGACCAAGAGGGTGAATGAGCACACCTACATGGTGCCCACAGCCATTCAGCACGCAGCCCTGTGGCACAGGCCACGTACCTCTCAGCCAGGGTCTGCTGCTCGTTGATGCCCACGTTGAAGAGGACAGGCTGCACGCGCAGAAGCATGCCACTCTGGATCTCCCGGGGCAGGGCATCGAAGAGCGGGCCTGGCAGGGGGATCCGTACGTTAAATCCATCACTGGAGGAAAGTGAGACAGGAAGGGCAGTGTGAGCGGGACACTGAGGGCAGCATGAGCCAAGGTTCAAGCCCCTCGGGCTTCGTGATACCTAAACCTCAGTCGGACCTTTAAGGAGTAGAATTACAGTAGGGGCTTCAGCCAGTGTTTTCAAAGAAAGCAAAGGAGTAAAGATAAAACAGAAGAGTACACCCCATGAAGCTGACATAAAAGAAGAACTCGCTCTGATGTGCAGATTTTCTACCGATTTCCTGTGATGACGGGCAGCATGTCAGTAGATGCATTGGAAGTGGCCTGCGTGACTTTGAAGGTCACGTTCCGCAAGTCCATGATTCCAAGGCTCATGTCCTCCAGCATGGCCAGCTCCTCACCTGCACACAGAGAGGGAAGGAGGCTGTCAGAGGAGGACCTCACTCCTCTCCTCATGCATGGTGCAGCCTGGAGGAGTGCAGTGCCGACAGGCTCTTGAGCCCCAAACACTGCTGTCACCCCACTTCCTGCATGCCTGTGGCCTTCTTCTCAGACCCTTTCATAGAGGCAACCAGTGGAAATTGGTGCCAACCTTCTCAGCCCTTCTGCATCAAGCCCTAGATCCACTGCAGAAGGGAAACAGAATGCACAAGGACAGAAACTGACACCAGCTCTTCAAGACTGAGAAGAGAACCGTGGAGCAGCTCTGCCGTGCTCACACCCTTCTGCTACACAGGGTTGGACATCAACTCTATGTCCTAGAATGCCAACACTGACAATTACCTTTAGCAATGGTCCAATTTCACTCTCTCACAAGAAATAAACAGGAAACAAGGCTGGCAAGAAGACAGTCACTCTAGGCAGCAGTCTGGAAATAGCTGTTTCATTTTAAAACATTCTCCCCTTTGACCTAGTGACTCTTCCTCCCAGCTCACAAGTACCTTCTGTGTACAGGGTCACTGCACAAAATGTTTAGTAGGATCAATTCAGAAACAACCCAAATGCCTTACAGAAGTGCCTGGTTAGACAGTCACCAGCCATCCTCCACTAGGAAGCTCTTCAAAATACACAGCAAATAATGGCAGCCACAAGGGCAAGGCTGCATGTTCAGCATGCAGACTCTGGATGTTCGTTACACACTGGTGGTGTTTGGGTTCACGTAAGTAGCAGAAAGGGAGGGCTGCTGATCAGGCGGTCTCTCACCGTAGGTGCTCAGCAGGCTCTCGAACTGGGCCAGCAGCCCAATGGTATAGAGCTGCCGCAGGAATCCATCGTCATGTAGGCAGTTTCGCAGCTTGATGATGAAGCCGCAAATGAGAGCCGTCAGCTGCAGAGGCACAGGGCAGACAGTGTGTGGGTAATGGCCCTGGCCCTGAGTACTGCTGCTTAGAGGGGGGTCAGCAGTGCCTCTTGCATCTTGGGGGTGTGGTACGGAGCTGGAGAGCAGAGGGTACTCTGGCTCTGGGACCACAGTGGGTAGAGGCCACAGGAAGGACACGTAACACTCAGCTTGCTGTGCTGTCACTCTCAAAGGTGGGTTTGGTTTGGGCCCAGCATTTTTTTGGTACCGGAGATCAAACTCAGGACCTTGCACTTGTGAGACAGGCAGCAGAACCACTGAGCTAAATCCTTGGCTGGGCCCAGCTTCTGACCTGACCTGCCTGGCATTATTCCTGAGTCAGAACCTTCTGGAAGCCTACAATAAGCCATAGTGCAGGGCTGTCCATTCAAGCTGCATACCATCTCTGGCTGAAGTGTGAATTAGGCACAATAGGAGGAATTATGTAGGATGGAACAGGCCACCAGGCCAAGACAGGGACTGCAGAGAACCAACCCAACCAGGTATCACTGTGTACTTTACTGACTCCATTACTGGTGTCTTCTGACTTGAGACATTCAACTCTTCACTAAAGATTACAGACATCATCAAAACAGAGTTCTGCAATGAGCCATAGAACTAAGGTGCCTCCTTTGTCTTCAAAAAAGGTGGCCGAGAAGCCTTTGTGTGCACTGCCTCCTTAGCACAGTGAAGAGCCTGTCCATACCAGCTCTTCTGGGGCAATATTTCTACCCCCACCCCCATCTGAAATCCAGGTTCACTATAAAGTAAACTTCAAAATAACAGGCAGGAAGCAGAATGGCCACCTGCAGTTTACACATGTGAAGGGAACAGGCAAGGGCCCCAAGCCTGTCTCTTCTGAAGTAGGAGATGTCCATGGCCACCCTCATGGTCCCCCAGGGGCTTACAGTCTGGCAGAAGACCACATCGCGGCGATACTGCAAGCTCAGGTAGGAGGCAATGGTGGGGGCACTGTCCTGCATGAGCAGGAAAACCATGGCCTTCTTGGCCTTGTCGCTCATCATGGCCACGCAGTCGGTGAGAGTGGTCAGCAGCGGGTAGAGGGCCTCGCTCCATTCACCTGGGCATGAGCAAGGGAGTCATTGTGATTACAGAGGATTTAGGCACTAGGTTCTACTAAGTCAGCAAGTCAACTGTTGCCTAGCCATCCTGTCCTCCCCTTCCCCCTACACCCTCTCTATATCTTGTGATCCCGCCTGGCCCACCTTGCCCCAGAATCGGCACCAAGTCCACCAGGTCCCAACCCTGGCTCTAGCCCTCCAGCCACAATCTCCCCTTTAACCTCAAACATGTGTGTTACTTGGGTGTCCCCAGTACAGGCCCGGTCTCCCAAAACTACATGGACCCCCATCTTCATACTCAGTACTCTGCCTGTTCAGGAAGATAGCAGAAAGCTTTGAAAGTCACAACAAGGCCAGAGAATGACTCTTTCAGCAGAAGCCAATCACCTTCCACAGCACAAAGCTCCTCCATATGGGCAAAGGACACCCCGAGAGGGCCTCTGTTGCCGCCCTTCTCCTGAGCTGGTAGAAAGCAGAGGCCTTGTTCTTCCAGAGCAAGGGATCTACTCTGCCACTGCCAGCCTTGTTCACTGCTGTTGAGTCCCCTCTTTCTACACTCCCTGTCCAGTGCCACCTTGCTGCCTGATGCCAACTATTTCTAGTTTACTTTCCTTTAGAAATATATGGAAATTTGGACCCTTTACCAAAACAACTTTTTAAAACTAAAACCTCAGGGGAGAAAAACAGGGTAAGAGGCATCTTTGGCTTTGGCTTTTTTCCCCTTTCTATTTAGAAGGCATTTAAAAGAGAAGCTATGCCTTCATCCATTACTTTTTTTTTTTTCAGTACCAAGGATCAAACACAGGATCTTGCACTTGTGAGGCAGGCACAGTGCCACTGAACTAAATTCATGGCCCCACCCATTACATTTTTAACAGGTCATTGAGCCCAGAAATAGGTATTTGCTCACCCTGCTTGGGAGCCCACCACCCCAATCCTGGCTCCAGGCCAGTGACAGCCAGGAGCACACATGCTCAGGATGGGTGTTGAGTCACAGTAGGCCCTGGACCATGGCACAACACTGCCAGAGGGTGACCTGTGAGGAGAGGAGAGAGCCTGGCTCTGTCCTCACAACTGTCTGGTCAGCACTTGTCTGGGAAACCTATATTGGGGAGCGCCTGGAATAGGAAAAGGAAAGTGGGTAGGAAAGGCCTACGCTTGGGGTTCAGTTGATGGGGATGCAGTATGAGTAACAGTTCAAAAGTTGGAAATGACCTAACTGGATATGCAGGCACACTATATGCAGACAAAGACTTACATCGGTAATGGAAAAACTCAGGCTTAAATTTAGAAAGTCTACAGCAGAAAGGTCTTAGCAAATAAGTCACGGTGACAAAGAACACTGGACTGAGAAGTGGAAAATGTGAGTCTCAGGCCAGCGCCATTTAGTGAAGCCTCGACCCCACAGCCACACGGGGCATCTTTGGGAAGATGGGGCCAGCGCCACGTAACAGCCTAACTTCTTTGTCCGTCAGAACTCAGAGGCCAAGTTTCTGTTTCATTGAAGAATTCTGGTGAAGGCCTGACAATTACACTCAGCACCTATCCACAGTGGCCAAAACAGCATGGGGTTTTACTAGCAAAACAGTCTGGGGAAAGATAGGCTAGGCAGTCACTAAAACTATTTTTCACTAAGAAATAAATGCACTTACAGCACATGTTGCCAATTTTATTTGGCTTTTCCAGTTAATACATATATCCAGTTTCATGTTAATCATTACTTAGTCTAAAAATGATCAGAATATGCAAATATTGTAGTCTTATTTAACTCAGCCAAGCCCTTTCCATACAACTTTCTCACTTTGCCTACTTCTCTATAAATAAAATTCATGTTAAAATGATTTTGTTTTGATAAATCATAAAAAAAATAAAAAGAAAAACAAACCTGGAGTATAGGAAGAATGGCTGCAAAGATGAAAATGTCCTGGGAAAGGGGGTAGGGAGATTAGAGAGGGGGCTCGGAGTCCCTCGGGGCATAGGCCACTGTTTACCAATGCCTTCAACAATTCTAACTGCAAACTCTTTCCTGACTGAATCCATAGACAAGAAACAGGCCCAGCAAGGCTGGGTCTTCCCAGACACACACACAGAACTGTATCTGTATTTGTCTGACTGACTCCAAGCTCCATGCTGTTTATTTCTACTAGGTCAGCCTGTGTCTGCTGGGGAGGAAAAGTAATGTATTTTTCCAATTTGAGGAGAAACTCATAATAAAAATGACTGCAAATAAGATGAGTTTCAGGAGCAGTAACATGATTTATTCCCAGGCCCTAGTCAAGCAAAAGTGTCCAGGATGCTGAAGCTGGTGAAGGGTTTCCAATCTGCTTCCTTTGGTGAGGAAAGTCTTGCTATTAAAACAATCCGTTCAGTTAAGCAACGTCCCAAAGAATGCAGGCGATACACTCTTTGAGACAAGCTCCTTATCCACTTGCCAGCCTGTAACATTTGCTGACTTTGGATAACTTTAAAGGGCTCTTTAAAATCCATAACACTACATTTATTTTTCCCATTAGTACGGGAGGAACAGAGTGAGTGAGTGCTTTAAGCCACTCTAAATACTTAAATACAGCTGTATAGGATCTCCTGACAGGGAACCATTTTAGTCCATTGACATCAACTGTGGAAAAGCCGCCAGTGCTTCTGGAAATGACACAGTTGACATAAAGCAAGTAGAGTCCAACAAGTCAGGCACCGAATGTGTGCTGACTTCCTTTTGGCTCTACCAGTATCAGGAAACCCCAAGTGGAGAGAAGTCTCCAAGCTTCATTGAAGCAGGTTCCCTACTGCCCTCTGTCCTGGTCCTCACATTGGACTCACACTGCCTATAGCCTGCAGTGGAGGACAGCTGAAGAGGATGGGAGCCCAGGGACAGATAAAGGAGAGGTAAGGCCTGTCCTGAGCAAGGAAATGAAGAGACCAAAGTTAACCATCTGTGCATCCCCCAAGGCTCAGTGACTTTGGAGGAGGAGACTGGGGACCAAGACCTGCCCTAGCTGGCTACACTGACTTTTTGGGAAAAGAAAACTGTGAGGACTGAGGTAAAACTGGGAAAGTGTGATGTGTCTGGTCAGATTAGCCAGTGGAAAAGCTGACTCCAAATGGGATTCTGGAGTTGTTTCGGCAGCTGCCGAGAATCACAGTGCTGTGTAAGCAGACCTAACAGGAAGGGCTTGGTAACTCTTGCCACAGCTGGTGTGCTATACTCTATATAGAAGGCAGGGGTGCTGCCATCTTACACTGCTATCCACTCAGCAACATGCAGTCATTAGACTGATCGCGTAAGCAGGTTTTTGGAGTTTAAGAAAAAACAAACAAGCCATATTATTTGGGGGCTCATGCACACTTGGGGAGAACCACAAGCCATATCCGGGAAGCTCATTATGAACCAGATCAGGGGTTGGCACACATTTTCTGTAAACAGTTGAGACAGTAAATATCTCAGGCTCTGAAGGCCATAGGGTCTCTGTCACAACTGACTCTGATACAGCCACACAAAAGCAGCCACCCAGGATCTGTGAACAGGTGGGCATGACTGGTTTCCCGTAAGATAGTATTTGCTGGAGCAGACTAAGGACAGGATCTAGCTCAGCACTGCTATTTGCCAACTCCTGAACTAGAACCATAAACACTGGATTCTACATGCAAATGTGGGAAGGAGATTCCACTTCTAATTCCAACTGAGGCCCACCGCCATGTCTGGAAGGAATTTCAGAGCTCCATCTAGACTTCGAATAGAAGATGCTACATGATTACAAATGCCACAGGCTTCAGGTGGATTCTTATCATCTGACTGTCTTCAGGGCTTTGCTCACAGGTCAGGTAACTGCATAAAAAGTATTAACAAATGTGGAGCTCACCCACCTGCGGAAGCCCAACACACTCACAAACACTAATCATCTGAAAAGAGTTTAGGATGTAAGAGTTGGATGGGGGAGGAAAAGAGGGAGGGAGAGGGGAAAGGAGGGGGGGAGAGAGAGAGAGAGAGAGAGAGAAGAAGGAAGAAGGGGGAGGGAGAGAGAGGGGCACAGAGAGACTGAGCAAGAGAGTGCAAAACAAACCCAAACCACATGGTATTCAGCTTCAGGCCACAATTTCCTTAGTTCATCTGGTCTCTCACCAAGCCTCACAACAAAGTAGTCCCTAAATCTTTCCCAGCCATGAGAATAGACAGTCATCTCGGGTAATTGAGCTACAAATGCTGCCCAAATATTACACAGTGGAGTGTGGAACAGAAATCACATACCTGGGCTGGGAGCTTCAGGAGGAGGGCTGCAATCTGCACAGAAATGGAGGGCGACAGGGACGTTAAGGAGCAGACACAGTTCAAACACAGCAATCCGTCTTACAACAGCTGCAGCAGCAGCTCGCAGTAAGGTGCTAACCACATGGAGAAGAGGGTAGGGGCCTCTGTCTCCAAAGTCTCACGAACATGCCAGGCTGCTCCAAGGCAGAGGAGCCCCTCTCAATAGTGTGCAGAAACTGATTTGTCAGTGTTGACATTCATGTTGCTAATGTTCCAACATAAAATGTTCTCCGGCACGAGGGGTCCAACAGTATGATGTGATACATGCCACACACAAAGCGCCCACATCAACGGTATGGCAGTGATGGAGCCCACATTAGCTTATAACAGCAGACGAGAGGGGCTGGCCAGCAAATCCCCAGCGGGGCTGCAGCTCTGATGTACTGGGCAGGCCTGGGTTCAAGACGGACCAGTGAGACTGTTACACTAAGACTCAGTAATGAACTCTAAGCCAGTCTTCAAGACTTAACTGAATGTAAAAGTTGTATGGCTTGGGGAAAGGCCCCAGTTAGGACTCCCAGGTCTCAAAAGAAAGCATTTCACTTTTACTAAGCTATAACTGGGTTGCTCACTTCAGTTCACATTTTCCTTAAAAACTCTAAAATTGCTAGTTACTCAAGTGCCATCTGAGAGACAACAAGTTTGAGAAGGAATCATAGAAGTAAAAATTTGCTTTACATTATGTCTGAGCCTATCACTTAAGGGATGCCTTCAGGGTACTGAAACAGGTGGTTTTGGATTCCCAAGACCTGCCAGAACCAGCTTGAAGGAGATGTTTGCAGTCTGGATTGGAATAAAGAAGATGGCAAGAGGTCCTCACTCTCTAATCATATTTGGCGCAGAGGAATAGAAATGCAAAGTCCCTTAAGGTGCAGGGCTCGATGTCTGTCAGAGCCCAAGTACCCTGGGACTACCTAGCTAAAGGAGCCCAGTAGTGGGGAAAGGCAAGCCGGGAGTGACTCTGAGGCTTTGTCCTGGGAGTCAGATCCTCAGGGCTTGGAGAAACACACACATCTGCCTCCCTGGGTCACCTCCTCCAGGACTCCACATCTATCAATAGGGAGCAAGGTCTAGGAATCTATGCTGGGAGCTTCCAGGGTGACCCCAAAGAGCAGGGCTGGGACCATTTCTGTTGCTTCATCTGGGACCAAGTTCACTTGCTAAATTCTTCTTCTAACCAAAAAGGAGAGAAAAGGGGTTGCTGTGATATTCCTTGTCTTGGGTCATGGGGTTCCTTGAGATCTGACAACCACTGTGGACTTTCTCTGTGTGTACATATATATTTCAGCCTGATCTCAGGGGCACCTGAACCTGGGGTGCATCCAGACACAGGTTAACAAAAATCTGGGCTGGGGTCCAAATGACTCTTGGGTGTGAGAATAAGAAAGTACACCGTATGTTTGAGAAAGGTGATGGGAGCTGCCAAATCCCAGTGGCAATGGTGGTGTACTAGGCAGAGAGGGTTCAGGGAGGGTGTGAGGCACTGGTGGAGAAACACCGAGGGAAGAGCAGTGCACGGGTCCCAGTGGTTCCAGTTGGCCGGCACTTCTCAGTGCCCTCTTTGGGACTTGGCCCCCATGACAGGCAAGGCCCCTGCCTGGTTCTCAGGACAGTGAGCAGGAAGGCAGGAAAACCAAGAATCCAAATAGGCAGAGAAAGGAAAAGTGATTCGGCTTTTGAGAGCACAGCTGTGCTCATTTAATATATAAGTTGGTATGAGCACAACCTGCTCATATGGCCAAGATGACCACTCCCTAACCTAGAATGGAATGGAGAGACCCCATGGAGCCAGGCTCTCTAATGTAGACAAGGGATTCACCAAAACAGCTCCTGTAGTTCTTCCTGTCCTCCTGGTCACAGTGGGGCCTGAATGGTTTCCTGGCTGTGCCAGAGATGTCTAGCTAGGGACAATGCACAATTCTTTAGTGGCGTGTGAGTTCTTACACTTGAGTACTGATCAGCAGAGGGAGGCTCCCTCATGCACTCTTCATGCGCCCATGACTACAACAGAGCTGATGTTGATGACATAGAAAGTACAGGTCAAACCTTACTATAACAAAAATGAACTTAAATAATCACTACTTAAATAATCAGGAAACTGAATTTGAATGAGTCTATATGTAAACAAGACGTGTCCACAAGAAAATGACATGTAAGTTATGGATACGCAGCATATCTGATTATATAAACTAGCTCCTGAATTTTAAAAACTCCAATAAATTACTTTTTATACCTGCAGAAAAAAATTAAAAATTATAAATAAGGCACACACACACACACACATATGAGCTACACCCTCTGCCCCTACAAACAGTATTAAATATTAAAGAGAAATAAACTTTCAGAAAATTTTAAAAAGAAACAATTTACATTAAAATAAAAACAACAAAAAGAAAACAAGAGAGACAAGCAGCTCTGTGAACTAGCCATAGTCTGGGGATGTGATGTTACATGACATTATGTGACATGGAGACCACAGAAATAGACTTGATGGGACAGTGCCCTGCAAACAGACTACAGGAGCCACAGAGGTCATGTCCACCTCACACACAGAAGAAGGGTCTACCAAAATGCTTCAACAAAGGAGTACAGTTCTGCCATGGATGGGAGTTGCCCAGCTGAGAATTTAAAGGCCTCGACCCTGGTGTATACTGGCCTTCCTTAACAATGGCTCATAGCTCCAAAGGAGAGCTGCCTGGCCCCAAGACCCTCACCAGCTCTTGCAGGAAAAGGTGGGTATACTCATGAGGTCAGGACTCAGGATCCACTTGCTTAGAAAGCGTGTAGTCCCCAGCTCTAAGGCTACTGCAGGGCAAGCTCTGAGTATGCCTTCTGTCTCTGCAGAGAAGGATGCTCTGAAACATGCTGTTTCATGGTACTGTCCTACCACCTCCTAAAGGCCTCCCTGTAAGGGTGCGGATGAACAGAAGAAAAGCAGTCCTCCTGAGGTCCAGGTATCTGACTGAGTTATGTTTCCAAGCAACAAGGCTCCCACAGGTAAGAACATGCCCAGCTAATGACGACTGGCTTTGGGCAAGTCTTCATGGCCTGATCCTATCCCTCATCCAGTAGAGTTGCTGTGAGAGTCACCGTTCCCTCCATCCCATCAGTTCCTGCGGCAAGGAACACCATCCTGCAGGGATCTGCATCCTTGCCTCTTTCAGGTTCTTGGGTTTGTTTACAAACTTGAAAAGGCCAGAAGCCCTGCCTGCATGGCCTTAGCAGTATGACCTTGCAGGGCCCTGAAAGTCTGCCTTTGGTGGAGATGCAGATTCATACATGGGCTCCAGCTGCACAGGAGACAATGGCAGGATAGGGCTCCCACCCTTCTGTTCCTGCTTCATGCCCTGGGTCACCCCACTCAGCCTGCTAGCTGTCCCTGCAGTCTGCCTGGACTCAGAGGCACAGATAAACAGATGTGACACAGCACAAGGTGGAGACAGCATGGAAAGCAGAGATGCATACGCACGTGTACTTGGGTGAGGATGGCATGCAGCGGCGGGCATGGAGGAAGGGCATGGCGAGGAGGGGGCATCGCAGAAGGGGTCTTCCGGTCTGATCCAGTAGGCATGGCTGTCGCAGTTACCTTTCTTGCTGGTGCAGCTGCCTGCACAGGGGAAGACGTCCTCACAGCCCTCACCATGCAGACGCTCCTTCTGCAACAGCTTGTCTACCCGCTGGATGATGCACTCCAGGCTCTTGTCCACGTTCAGCCACACTTTCTCCTTCCAAAGCAACAGGGCCCAGGTGGGTCAGGTCCCCAGTGGAAAACCAGGACAGAACACAAACCCACTCCACTGATCCCCAGCCAGGGATGCCTGCTCATGAAAGTATCACAAAGATCAGGTTCCTAATTCCCACTAAAGTTGTACTGGCTTTTTAACAACCAATAATGTCCTATAGCCACTGCTTTGAAGGACTGAGAGATGTCTGCTGGTAACTGTGGAAGACAGCATTTCAACACCACCAGAAGGGTTCCAGGGCACTAAGGGCTGGTTCTCTTCTCCCTACTTTGCTGCAGGCTGCCTTCAGCCACCACATACACTAAGGCCCTCTTAGCTGGAAGGGAATGGAAACAGCTGGCCAATAGGGTGGGGAGCTGGAGAAGGGCCTGCTGCGAGTGACTTGTGTAACCCACACAGGCCACGAGATGTATGTCAGGGCTGGAGGACCATTTTGTTGTGGTGAGTAGTTCAGTGCTGTGGGGAGCTTCAACAAAGGACGAAGAAGTTGTTCCATGGGTCAGTCCCTCAAGAGACAGAGACTCTCAGGGCCCAGTGACAGACAAGTGTCTGGGACAGCAGCTCCAGCACTGAGGAGAGGCTGGGCTGGCCACAGGCAGCCAGAGCCACAAGGGTGCAGCTAGCAGGAAGAGCATAGGAGGCTCCAGCATGGTAGGGGTCCAGGGAGAAAACCCACCTCTCTGCAAGCAGGGTGCAACCGGTTCAACCCAGCACAGTCCTGCTCCCCATGCACACACAATAGCTCACAGTCTCCATCACTCAGCAGGTGGCCTAAGAGCCACCTGAGAAGGAGCCCTGGAGCTTGTGAAGCCCCTTAGGACCCAATCCTTCAGGTACCCCATAGGGAAGAGACCGGTAGCAGGCTCTGTAGCTCTCACCCCAGGATGATAACTGCCGAGAGCAGACTCACCCACTCTTCCTCATGCCAGTCCACCTGCAGGGAAGATCGGCTGTTCCTCCCTGTCCACCTGGCCATGAGGGTGTCCTGGTCGTTCCGAAGCATTACCTGCTCCTCTTCAGTTGAGGTGGGAGAGGCCTTGGAAGCGATGTAATCAGGCCGCGCAGCATTTAGCCCATGGATGGAGTTGGCCAGCAGTTTGCAGTCGCAGACAGTGACCAGCTGCCGGGTCTGCCAGGACATACAGAGCAGGGCTGCTGGGCCTTCTTTCTCTTGGAGAAGGAGATAGCCAAGGCCCAGCAAGTCTGACTTCCCACTACTCCACAGTACCGAGCAGCTAAAGAACTACATCCTTCGGGATGCTTGATAGCAAAGGCTCTATGTGTTCTGCTAGGGCTGTGTCTTAGCAAGAACTTCCCATCACACTGGAGAACACACACAAAAAAATTTGACCCTAGCCTGCCCTGGACCCTGCTTGCTACAGGAAGGGGCTCAAGAGAGCCCAGCATCACAGCTTTGGCCAATGTCCTGGGCTGGCCCTCAGTCTCCACAGAGCAAGTCTCCAGCAACCAGCATTACTTTGGTGTCATCACTTCAGTCTTCTTTTTGTACCTTTGCATCTAATACCCCAAGACCTGGACTCTGGACAGCTGGGCTCCTGGCACAGCAGTCCTGATTTTGGAGAATTTGGTATGCATCAGGGGTTCTGGGGTTCAAAATTTTACTGATGACAACTACATCTTCCTCCCATCCTTATTGTTCTGATCAGGAACAGCAGTTCACACTCAGTAAAACAAGTGTGGGTGAGGATGTGCAACCAGAATTGGTGTATGTGCACACATGTGTATGTATTAGAGAGAGACAGACAGATAAGAAAAAGTATTCTTCACAAAGATCTGATATGTCCACTCCCTCAGTATGGACTAACATTTACATATTTTCTAATCCAGCTGAGTTACGATTAATTAGAACTGGTTTACTGATTACATACAAGCCAGTATGATTATATTGATCTTTTCTTTGCCTGGATAACACCCGTTTCTTTTTTAAAAACCCAACTACGGTAAAAATGTGCCCCCCACCCCCAAGTGTTGATTAGGCCACCCCTAGGAAAGATGTGGATTATTCTGGCCAACAAAGCAAGCCTAGGGGCCTACTGAGAACACATCTGCATGAAGTAGCACCTGACAGGTACAAGGCTCTGCCAGGGCTCATCCAGCTCTGCAACAATAAGAAAATAAATTACCAAACTTCTCTGGGACTTTGTAGGAAGTAGGACCAAAAGAGAGAGACAGCACTGGGCACACCTGGGCAGCCCTGTGGTATCCAGTAGCTTCCAGAGACCCATGGGTCCTTGGGTCCTTCCCTCAAGAGACAGAGATTCTCAGGGCCCAGTGACAGACAAGTGTCTGGGACAGCAGCTCCAGCACTGAGGAGAGGCTGGGCTGGCCACACGCAGCCAAGGCCACAAGGGCAAAGCCGGCAGGAAGAGCAGAGGAGGCTCCAGCATGGTGGGGGTCCAGGGAGAAAATTCACCTCTTTGCCAAGCAGGGTGCAACTGGTTCAACCCAGCACAGTCCTGCTCCCCATGCACACACAATAGCTCACACAGTCTCCATCCTTCAGCAGGTGGCCTAAGAGCCACTCCAACCCCACGTGCACCCACAAGAACCCCCACCCCATGTACAGCACAGCACCCCTCTTACCTTGTCTGCTAAGATAGCAAGAGTCCTCTCAAGACCGGTGGCAGACCTGTCCTTGGCTGCCCTTGAGAGCCGCTCTGCATAGTAACTAACTTGGGTTTTCAGGGTGTTGATCTGGGCAATAATCTCCTTGGCTCTGACGATGTCCTGTGGTATGTAGATTATGGACTGGCAGCTAGACGAAGTACTACAAAAGACAGGAACAGATCTAAGGGATTCTCTCAAATCTGATGAGATGGCGGCGGCAGCCCAACCCTAGCTCACAACGAATCCCAAAACAAAGAACATTTTGTTTCCTGGGCTAGTCTATCTGCGGATGGGCAAAAGGAAACCTTGGCCAATCCTTCTTATCTACATAGTAGAAGGATAAAATATTAGAACAGGATGAAGTCTTTTATCTCTGTATGTGTCTGCATTTTTACCATGTATATGTGTGTAGACACTGAAACATCACCCCCGCCAAAATTCCCAAATGCTTAGAATGTTTACCTAAGAACTTCTATCAACTTAAAATCAGTTCTTAAGTGACACCTGGGGTTGCTTTATATCAGAAGAGGCCAAATTATCTCACTGAAGGGAAACGCTATAGTGGGTACCAGACTTTGCCAAAACCAAACAAAATAATAAAAAAAAAAAAATCTGCAAAACCCTCTTTTTCATTTGACCAATCAGACCTTCAATCTTTCTGAGAACACTCACAGTTCTCCTCCCTCATGTGTGTGAACCTAGTGAGTCTCCAAGATGCTGGGCCTGTCTTCTCTCCTTGTGCCAGGGCTTTCCCCTTTGAAGCATAGCACTGTGCCAGAGGAAGAGGAAGTGAAGAATGCCCTACCAGTGGCAAGGCCCCAGCACCTGTGTGGCTTTGAAAGTTCGGCTCTTTCTCCTTCCCACCTCTTCACCACTAAGAAGCATGCGTATCTGGGAGCTAATGTCAAAGTGGCAGCCCTCTGAGCAACAGCTTGGAGCCTCGGGGCTTGCTCCACATGCTTGGCTGTGTGGAGGTACATGGTCCTCCTCAGTGGCAGTGACAACTGCATGTCTTTCAGTTCAGATCCCAATCATTTCAGTATTATAGATTAAGTTCCTGACCATCTGAGGATGCCAAGGAAGGCAAGAGGTACAAGTTGCCAGTGCAGAGGTCTCCTAAAGTTTGGGGCTCAAAGTTCTGGGTGAATCATATCCCTCACCTCCTGGAAAGAAGGGCCGTCGGTGGCCTTTTGGAGGACAAAAGGGTTCCTTCTGGGGAACCCTTTGAGTTCTGACGACAAAGGAGAAAGTGGAGGACAGAGAGTTCCCTTAGTACACAATCTCTCCACCATGTCCCCTGGAGGTGAAGGTCAGCTGGCCCTTCCCAGGGAAACCCAGAAGAGTGGGTCACCAAGAAACTGCCACTGCCCTTTCTGCTGCTAGACCATGGGGCAAGCATGCAAACGCCACAAACCAAAGCACCCACGAAGAAACAGCACCGCCACAAGCCCACACACCACAATGGAACATGATGAGTTTGCCAGAAGCCCATGCAGTAGACAGTAACTAAGCCTGCACGGCACCAGGAGCCATTGCACAGCGACATGTGCTCACAACTGCTTTCCAATCTGCAATCACTCTTCCAAATGAATAGCAGCCATTTAACAATTTAGTCTTGAAAATACATCTCAAAAGAGGCATTTTTAAAAATCTATTCTTCCCAGGCCCTCAGTATGAAATGCATACTGTAATTAGGCCTCCTTCTGTGTATGTGGCAGTGTATTCTTCAACTCATACATACCCACCCCAAGCCCAAGAGGAAAACACCCTCCCACCCTATCACCCTGAACTCTTACAAATCATGTGCTAATAACAGCACCTGGGACAGGCACAGGAAGGCTGTGGAAGGGTGAGAGAGGTGCAAGTTGCAAAGAGCAGGGTAGACATGACTGGGAGCATATGAGTATGTGTGCTCAATTACCTCCCTCTAAAAATCCTGGCCCCATGAAAGAGAGGCACCAGGGTGCAGACATTCTGCCACTTTATAACCGCCCCCACCCCGGAAGCCTTACCTTTAGAGAAGGGGCCTCTAGGTGCCACTAACTGCCCTGAGCTTCCAGAACTAAGTGGAGCAGAGGTGACAGCGGACCTGAAGGTACCAGGAGAATGCAGGGGTGCAGTGTTCTGGGAGGGCTGGGAGCAGATGAGCAGCAGTGGGCCTGAAGGCCAAGGCTGCTTTTGCAGAACCTGGACTCCTGAGAAGCTGGGTCTCGCAAGGCAAAAAGGATGGAGGTACTAGGTGCTCTCTGACTGGCACTTAGTCCTCACATCTGCCAGGCAGGAAGGCTCCTCGCCTGTCTCAGGCAAATCTTGTGTACGGGGAACACAGTGGTAGAGCCCAGGCTGGGCTCTGAAAGATCTCAACTCCTCAGTCAAGAGGAAACCTGAAGAACTTTCCAGATAAGGTTTACTTAAGATGCCTGGATGAGGACTTACCAAAGACATGGGGCCTTTGGCTGTGTCCCACCACTCATTCCCATCTCTCAGATCCAACCCCAGGTCCTTTACTCATTCTGCTAAGGGAAAGGATGGGCCTTCAATGGGGCCCCAAGGATAAAAGGTGAGAGGAAGCCTGCAGGGGCCACTTCCAGAGAGGCTGTAGGCTCCCCTAGCAGAGGCAGAGCAGCTGCAGCCCTCTCCAGGGGAAGTGGCCTCAGCAGGGTATGTGTGGAGTTGTCCTCAGTACTTCCTGCAGCACCCTGACACCTCAGGCAGGGCTCAGCTGTGGCACTGGAGGGTCAGGGTCACCAGCTCCAGGTGGTGAGCCAAGGCTGCAGGTGCCTTGGAATGAAGTGACACTGCAGGCCCCTGTTCTAGGACTGGGTCTATGGAGGGGAGCCCTAAATGCAGACCCCCAGGGGGGAAAAGTGATCCTAGTAACACTATTAGAAAAACCCACACAAATCATTATCATTTCATTTGTACACAAGGTGAAGGTGAGGTGAAAACTGAAAGGCCTCAATGCTCTTGTAAAAGAAGACAGAACAGAGGTCCCACACCAGTGGGGGGATGTGAGATCCCAGCATGCAGGCCTTTGCGGGAGGAGGGCTCCTCCACAGCCCGAGAGCAACAGCACTGGGCTCTGCATCAGACTCAGCGTGGCAATAGATGCCACTAGGTTGGCAAGGTGAAGAATAGACTGCAGACTGGCTATTCATTATCAAAGCACATTGCAGTTGGAAGGGAGAGCTCATCTACAAGGCAGGGTGCTCAGAGACGCTTGGCCCCATGGGGTGCAGCACCCCCTGGGCAGGCTGGGACAGCATGAGAGCGAGACCCGACAGACACTCTCTGCACAGACAGAAAACTCACCAACTCTCCTCAAAACTGCTAAAGAAAAGAACCAAAATGAAGTATTAGCAGTCAGCAGATAATAAATGCAAAAAAAAAATTTAAAAAGCTAAGTGACTTTTTGTTAAAACACTTCAGGTTACTTGTTGAGGCCCTAACTGTGAGAGGGCTAACCTTAGGAGCCCCAGTGGCTTCACCCCACCGGAGGCCAGGGACACCTGCACTTGAAGGAAAACTCGACTTCAGAAAACCTGTTGTACAAGGGATTTTGTCACATTTGAGAGAAATAAAATAAATTGCGCATATATCTGAAAAACACTGAAGAAGCATTTTGGGCAGGGAGAAGTTCTGAAGTTAATATGTAGACTAATGAGGTGTCAGTACTCCAACCTCCAGGGACAGGGACAGCCAGGTGGCCACCCTCAGCTGGCCACGCAGAGGAACTGAGCTTTCCCTGTCAGGACCCCCACACCATCTCAGGTTACACACAGGCTCTCCAAACAGCAACATGCAAAGCACACAGACACACGCTTTCTGCCGGCTGTGCAGAGCTGTGGTGGCTTCAGGGAGCTTCGTGGTCTTCCTATTCCCCAAGGGACCCCTGGGTACAGTGAATACAAGGGCAGATCCAGTCCCCTCTGTGAGCAGCACCCTTGGCAGGGAGGAACAAGGTCAAGCAGGCTCTGTGGGGCCTCTCAGCCAGTACCCAAGTGCCCTTGCTGACCTTCCCTCCTTGCTTCTCCTCCTCATACCCAGGACCCACAGGCCCAGCTGGTTGCCACACACACCTCTCCCACCGTACTCTCTTCTGCTCCCTGCTCAGCTGCCAGGCTTCCTTCCCCATGTCAAGGCTGCTCTCATCATCTCCCTGACCACCTGGCTATGGACTGAGCAATGGTCTAATCTTTCAGCTTTTCACTCTGTGATGCAGTTCATGGGCAATTTTCTCATGCAAGGTCCTGACTGCAGGTCACGGCAGCACAGGTGGGCAACAGCCCACTGAGTCCCCATGTGTGCTAAAGCTCTCTTCCATCTGTCTGCACCCAAACATGTGGGGCTCTCTGGATGTTCCCTGGGCCTTTGCCTCACCTTCCCTCAAACTTCTACTCTCAATTGCTAAATCTGAACGCCCCCTCACTGCAAATGGCAGAGGTGCTTCCATCTACACTCAGACTGCCCCCTTCCACCTCGCAAACCTCTTGTCCCTTCTGGGGTGAACTGGCTGCTCCCACCCCTTCATTTTCTCCAGAACTGTCCTCCAGCTGTGCTCTCTTCTACCTCACCTCATTCACTTGCTAGCCCCTCCCAGCCTCACCTCAACACACACTCAGGTCCTAATTATTCTCCCCAACTTAAGACTTTCACACCACTTCCTCTACCTCAAAGGTCTCATGGGGCCATCTACACTCATGGGGCCACCTCTTACACTTGTACCCCTTGAACCATTTACAGTGTGCCTGGTGACATTTCTAAAAGATCATCAGGGAATGCATCCTTTGTATCCAAAGCAATAGCTGGGATTAATGGATCTCTCCTGCCCAAACTGAGTCTTAGCCCTGATCCACAAATCCAGGCCCAGTTACACCGAAATAGTGGTTATTAATTTGTTTGCTCCCAGGCAAGGCCCTATTCTCCACACAGCCAGGCCTAGACCTCTCAGGCCCATGTCCCTGTTTACCAGCATAAAGCAGGCTGGCAATGAGGCCAGCTCTTAGCTTCACCTCCTCTTCTTCACTGCATCTTCCATGGCCTCATCTGAAACACCTCTCCCCGCAATGCCTTTCAAACAGAATGCTTCCCATTGTTGCCCTTTAGGACGGACACAGTGCACTCCTGCCTTTATGGTTCTGCTGCTCAACTGACTGGCCAGTGAATCTAGAGAAAGCAGAGCCATCAGAGTTCTCACAGGGCTGTTAGCTGAAGCATCACTCAAAGGCAGGTCATGGGGGCTGCTCATTTTGAAGTGACAAGACCACTACTGAGGTGCTTTCATTACCCACCAGCTCAATCACACACACAGAGCAGCACAGGTCTGAAATGCAGCTCCTCCTGCTACACAGAAGCGGACTGGATGCTTGGATGTTTTTGCAATCATCTTTTGACTTTTTTTTTTTTAAACTGAGAAACATCAGCCAGCTGTACAAGCGCCACAAATCCCTCCTTCTACTTACTGTTTCTTAGTCTCTTCAAATTTGTGCAGCTTTTTGCGGAGACCTCCTGACTTAAAACCTTGGCAGTGTGCTGCTGGTGCTCCGATGGTGACAATGTCGTAGTTCTGATCTGAATGACAGAAAGCTCTCCTCCATTACTCTGGGCTCAGGCCTGTGGACAAGCCAGCTACAGGGATATGCACACCACTCTGGGATGCTGCCTCTGCAGCCTATCTCCATACAACCTTGGGTTCCCTTAATCCCATATCTTGGGCTGTCAGAGGGCCCACAGGAGCCAGACACCATCATCTCAGCAAAGAGGACTTCTGTGGGCCTCTAGGTGCAGCCATAAAGAGCTGTAGGAAACTCCTCCCAACACTAGTTTCCTTCTTTCCTAGGAAAGGAAGTGGGGCAGGGCTTTGGGTTCTTTATAAAAACCTCTTGAAGGTCTTAGGATGTTTCTTCTCTGAGCCACACAGCAGCACAGTGTACAGGTAAACTGGGATAGAGGTGAGGCAGCTCAAGGACCAAGGATCCAGGGAGAAAAGAAATGAATGTGATTCAACAAGAAAGAAAGAGAGGTACCTGATCCTCCATCGTCTTGAACTCTCATCCTTTGTATGTGCAGGTTTGTGGGAACGAATTCTAATTTTTTATCTGCTTTCAAACTGCTTGCTTTAAATGAGGGACCTAAGAAATGCAATATGAGAAAACAAAAGTCTCAACTTGTATCACAAATAGCAAGCAGAAAAGTGGTACTCTGGGGCTGGGGATTTAGCTCAGTGGTTCTGCTGCCTGCCTCACAAGCACAAGGACCTGAGTTTGATCCCTAGTACCCAAAAAAAAAAAAAAAAAAAAAAAAGGCACTCTGGTGCTGCACCTGCACATAAGCAGGTGTTGCAGTGGTGGCTGTGAGTATGCTGCCTTTACAGATGGGGGCTCTAAGGAAAGCTCACCAGCCAAAGACTGGCTCAGGGTACGTGGGTGGTGAAGGGAGCCAGGGAGGACCAGCTTCAGCCAGCTGTAGTCTAAGAAGGCCATGCCCTCTGGGACTCAGCTCACAACTCAGAGACCTGACACTCAGATGTGATCTTGTAATGAAGATCACTCTAAGAAGCAAATGAGTCCCAGCCTAGAGATTGCTATCACCCAGAGCAACACATTGCAATTCTAGTAAGTGATGCAAAGGTCTGCTCATCACCACGGGCCATCACAATATACAAGTGCCACACAGCACTGATAAAGCCCTGAGGTCACATGGCCTGACAAGGGCCTTTGGGTATGCCTGGTTGGAGAGGCTGATGTTTTGTAATCTATATTCACAAGCTTATTTCTATAACCAAATTCCAGAATCCATAATTAATTAAGTGAAGAACCACACACCTACCACACACAGGCATTACACATTTAAGTGGTGATCAGGGGAGCAGAAGAAATTAAACAGTCCACCTGGTGAATAGTGCCAGTACACAGGTCGCAGGCCAGCAGCTATACACTCTGCATTTTGCCATAGGAGTTAACTCCCTAAAGCTTGGTGTTAACGCTGTGGCTCTCAGATCAGCAGCATGAAAGACCTAGGACTCAAGAGAAATGCAGGGTTCTGGATTTGCTTTTTAGCCAGATTCTGAGACTGAAATTTGAGAAGCTCTATTCTGGAAAACTCAAGGTTGTGTAGGTGCCACACTTTCCCAGGTAGCATCCATTCAGCATGGGTAGGTGCCTAGTTCCTCAGCAAATGCTGACATTTCTTGGTGGTGCAATTAGACATGTTCTTCAGGCTCAACCCTAAGCCATGCAGACCTATATTTGGCTTCCTCTCACTCAAGTTTACGGACAGGTGCCTACATTCCATGTCAAAAATACATTAAAGACTTAAGATTTTCCTTAAATCCTAAAATAAAATTATGTAGAGGAAAAGAAGGGAAGACAGAATAATTTGAAATACTAAAGTAATGAATAAAATAATGAAAAACAAAAGTATTTTTTCAATTTGGGAGAAAGGGAAATGAATAATTGAGAACAGTCATCTAAATCTACCCAGAGAGTATTTTGAAAATCAGACAAAGTCTCTTAAGAATAAATGGTGAAGGGCTGGGGAGTGGATCAGCAGAGTGGCTACCAAGCATATACAAATCCTAGATTCAATCCCCAGTACCACAACAAGAGGTATTTGAGCCTTAAATGGAGGATTCCACGCCAACAATTTATATGTTCAATTAAAATAACACTGAATATCGAAACCAGAAAAATCTGTAAAGCCGCTTTGTCTATAGGCAATTGTATGTCTTAATCCTTTTGGTTGCTTCAGTGGTATATAGCCTATAGTTCTATCTCCCCAAATTTCATTCTACAATGGTGGTTTAGACAGATAACATTACAGAAAGCTTTTTCTGACAATTCATTGATTGGTCTTTTTAATTAGGATCTGAAAACCCCACATATGAAAGAATCCCACCTACATGAAAATCTATTTCTAAAACCCCACTCAAGAGTGTCAGTGCAGGGCCGGGGATTTAGCTCAGTGGTTCTGCCACCTGACTCGCAAGCACGAGGACCCAAGTTTAATCCTCAGAACCAAAAAAAAAAAGTGTCAGTGCAAGTGTGTGAGCAACTTGTGTTCCAGATCTCTGGCCAGGAAAGTGGGGGTGTGGATGCCTCAAATGGGCAGGACTGTACCCACCTTTGTACTGATGGAGGTCAGTCAGGTTCTCCTGGTATGTGAGGATGACAGTTTGGTACTGGGTGACAATCTGGCGCCGGAGGCTCTCCCAGCAAGGGGACAGCTCCCCCAACTCCTCCAGCTCACAGACTCTGTAAGAAAGACACAGGTGAGACGGGGGGGTCCCCCTACCAGGAGGTCAGAAGGTACAGGGAAGGAGCACTGACACTCAGGAAGGGCCAGAGAGTAATTAAACTGTCCATATGAAGGGAAGGGGATGGAAGTGACAGTTACACGTCAGGCAGACCAATGACCCCATAGGAGTGGGTGGCAAAGCTTTTTACAGGAGTGTGTTGAATGTTCAAGGGAAACCAAGAAGAGATGGGGACGATGGGAAAGGCTGTTGAGGAGTGGCTGTGTCACTGTGCCCTGGAAACCCTGCACAGGCATGCCCTGCCCTCAACTGGGCAGGATGACACAGGACCCTCCAGAACAGAGAACTGGAGGCCTGGAGTCACCGCCCCAAGGTCATGTCTCCTTGGGGGCTTCAAAGACAGTGTCCCTCGCCTCCCAGGTTCCCCAGATGTGGGCTTCCTGCCTGGGCTACAGGTAACAAAGCTGCTCAGCCAGAGCTGGCTCCTCAGCAGGGGGGCTCCCAGAGCTCAGGCTGCAGTCACTGGCTCTTCCATCGCCTGTCACCCTTTCTGGGTTGGACAATGACTGTAAGGAGCTGGCCCCCTTGGCTATTCTCCCTTTCACTGCCTCTGGAAGTAAGAAGCTATCTGAGACTGAAAGCACTCTATGGAGTCATCCCAGGTCTGGCTTTGGCCTTGGTACTATGTGTGCTTGACAGGGGAATGGGGGAGGGAGTGGGGAAGGGAGAAGGAGGAGAAGAGGAGAAAGGAATTGTTATTCCCCATCAAAATATCAGCTGAGCAAGTGTGTAAGAGCTAAAATATGAATTGTAAGCTTAGCTCAAGAATAATAGCAATATGATCATAACAGCATAAGAAAAAAACATTTTTTTTCCAAAGGAGACCATATTAGGAAAATGGAGACTGAAAAAGTGTAAAAGCCTCATCCTGGGAAATCAGCAGACAATGATCAGTGAAGACAGGAGGATTTGAGCACATATTTAGAAACACAGGACTCACTCAAGCCCCTGAAAGTGACTGCTTCTGAGTAGAAGATAGAGGACCCCAAACTTTCCTTTGAAAGGGAAAAATGCTCATTTTACAAAGTTTTTAGGACTCTACTAAATTGTCCTTTTTTAACTTCTGAATTTTAACTTTTGCCATTTTATTACTAAAATAGCACAACTAACAGAAAAATAGTCAGTACGGGCAGGGTCATAGTGGGAACAAGGTCCCCATGCCCTACCAGCCACTGCCTGGCCAGCCACCTCTCCTCATGTCTTCCCCTGTGCTTCTGGTGTCAGCTTAACCTTGCTTTTTCCCAGAGGCCAGGCCTGACCCCTCTCTTTCCACATATGGACACATCTGGCTCTCATGGGTACGGCTCCTCTGTCTACCACCATGGACCATCGCTGGTGCCCAGTGTGTAGCTATTACTATTACTAACAACTACAACAACCAAGACAACAATAACAATGTCAGTCTTAAGCTAAACTGCCTATCCAAGGAAGGAACTATTTGAGGCTGAAACACAAAGATAACAGGACGTGTCATAATTCATAATTAAAACATGAAATGTGAAGATACATGGAAAAGTAGATTTGTAGCTAGGTAAATATATGCAAATATGGGCAAAACTGAAAGAAATTTTTTTTAAATAAAATTATAAAAATATATGCATATAGAGAGATAAGGCAAATAACCAAATGATAAAATTAGGTGAATTTAGGTGGAAGATATCTGGATATTTGCTGCATTATTCTTGCTATTTTCTCTAAATTTTTTTCAACATAAAAATGAAAATATCTGTATTAGAACAGTGAGGTTGTGTTTGCCTTGTTTTCTCTCACACTTCATTTACATGGTGCTGATAGTTAACGTAGTTTTAGGACAAGGCGTAGAAATGACAGGCTGGGTCAGACAAGACAAATCCGTAGGTCAAAGCCACCTCTTAGGCTTCTGCCTGTGGCCCTGAGTTGAGACCCTTGGTCCACAGGATCAGAGCACCTGGATGGGTCATGCTTGGTATCTGGAGCCCTTATCTGTGGGCTTGACTGTGAAAACTGCTAGTCAGCTATGACCAAAGAACAAGCAGCTATTTCAAACTTCCTGAAGGACAAGTGGGCAGCAGAAGAAAAGGGAAGGTGGGCAAAGTGCTGGGCACAACTCTGGGGCTTTGAACCTAACCCGTGGAACCCTCACCCTGCCATATGGCAGACGAGGCAAAGGCCAGGTTACAGTCCAGCCAAGAATGAGCCACACCTCAAAAAGGAACAGGCACATGCCACAGGAGATACCTCACCTGGCTGCATCTTCTTCCAGCAGGAGCTTCACAAACTGCCGGGGCACGTGCAGGGACAGCACACTCTCCGCCATCTGCTCCAGGATCCGCAGGTGGTTGCCATCAGTGGTCGGGAAGCGGTACATGCGGCAGATGGCACCTCCAAACACTAAGGCGGGAGGACAGGAGACATGGGCTACAGATGAGCTGGCGGCACTCTGCCTGGTCTTCACAGAGTTGAAACACTGGGCCAAACCCCACCAAGTAACTAAGCCTGAAGGATCCAACCAAGACATGCAATCTCCTTGTCCCAGAAGAGTTAAAGGGCAAGGGGCTGGGGGTGGGGGGAAGCTGTCAGTCACTAAACCTGATGTGAAACCAGAAAGCGTGAGGAAGAGGAGCCCCTTTTTTGAAGTGTTAAGCAGCAGAAAGATGGCAGAATGATGAGCAGCAGGTGGGAACCATTGGGGTAGGGCTATGACAGTCACAGCAGGTAGGGAGCAAAGGGGGAATCAGGCTGCAGTGACACTCCCAAGTATGCCAAGGGAACCAACAGAGAAAGCTGTTTACCTGATTTCAGTAGAGTGTCTTTTCGCAATGAAGCATACTTGGAACGAATTCCCAAGGCCTCAGTCAAGCTCTCATCAACAGGGAGAACCATCTACGGATATGGTGAGAAAAGCACAAGAGAACTGAGACTCAGATGACTCTACTGTGCTCCACATAAATGGGGGCCTCAGATATCACAAGGAGATCTCTTAACCAAATATGCACCAGGAACTCTACTGTGCAAATGCTGCCCGTACCACCCATGCCCTGTTTTGCCCTGTACACACAGATGGGCCCTAGAATGGGTCCAGACCTAGAATGGTCCCCAGCTCTCTCCCTGCACATCACCTCAGTCATCTCTCATCATGTTTCAGGGTTCTGCTGTGCAAAATGAGAGATGGATAGACAGTGCCAAGGAATATCCCCAGAGTGGGTGCTCGGGGCTTATTTGGGGCACAATGAGATATTCATATTTTATAATGACCACTTAGCAATGCTGGGGCACTTAAATTAGGATTCTCATTCAGAAGCACAGGAGTGTGTGGTGAGACTATGGTCTGGGAGGCACATGAGGACAAATGCGCAAGTGGGTGCTAAGAAGACAGAGTGTGTGAGGGTCTGTTGAGCACCAGTGTGTCTGAGAGAGATGGTTATCACCCATGCCTGCCGGGTAGCCTGAGTCTCACCTGCATTCTTTACCCCACGGTTAGGCCAAGTTTTCATCCTCTGGTTCCCGCCTCTTAGAGGAGGCCAGTGGGAATGAACAGAGGTGGGCTCCAGGGCAGCAGGGCCTTGTGGGCTAAGCTAGAAGCCCTTGCTTCCTACCTGAAGCCTCACCTGGGCATCAGGAACCAGGCCCCGTCTTTTGCTGAGCTGAGGCCAGTAAGTCCCTGAGGACAGGTCTTCCTACTCTTTCTGAGAGACAGGAAGAAGAAAGTCTACTCACTCTCCCGTTGACAGGGTCCAGAGACCGAGTCACTGGGGGCCGCTGGTCTGACTTGTCCTCCATCTGCCAGCCGATCACAGTGATATTACCCACACGGTCACTCTCTGCGGACCTGCCACAAGCAGAGTGCTTTAGTGAGTGTGACCGCCTTTCTGCTTAAAAGCAAAGCTCAGTTTTCCTGGCTCATCTGGGGTCCCCAGAATGGCAAGGCCCAGTCATGGTTCAGTCTGTCACCATTCTCCATTATAGTCCTCTCCAAGGAAGGCAGAAAAGCAAACCTCAGGGCACAAGAAAAGGCTGCATCTGACAGGGGTGGTGTGGAGGCGCCTAGTGAAGGTGGGGGCTTCCCTGAGAGGAGCCAGCCCTTGAGCTCACTGTGCCAAGATGACAGGACCCATCTCAGGGCCAGGGCTGGAGAGGATCTTTTGTTGGCACCAGGCCCCATCCTGCTCCTTCCACCCACCCACAATCTCTGATTATTCCCAAGGCATGGGCCTGGATTCCAAGATCAATGAGGATCTCCTAAAGCCCCAAATGCTGACTAATACAGCTCATACCACTGTAGTCCTGGTTAGCTTCACCTCTAAGACCCAGTGGCCTGTGCCCATCTGATTCACCCCAGGGAGCACTCACATTTTATTTATGATGCCTTAGTCTAGTTCTAAATTTGTTAGTAGTCACATGTACTGGACATTTCCTTTGTGACTTTCACTGTTCTCTTGCCTGGAAAAATCCTTCCCTGTGTTATCCATCCACTAGTCATCTTTTCAAAAGGCAAATATTCATTTCTTACACTAAACTCCGACCCAACTAGATTTAGTTCTGGCACAGACCTACCTAAATATTTTTTCCCAAGCAGCCTTTTCCCTCACATGAACCCTCTCATTTTTCCTAAAACTCTTCCTTTTTCCTGAATCAAGACCTCCATACACACTGAGGAGCTGGCAGAGCACTCTTCCTATCTGCAGATGGGATGGCCACATGCAACACTGTCATTACTTGTGGTAGCTTCCAAATGTCACCAGATTGCAGGGACTAAATCTTCCTTGTTTGCTATTTTGAACTATTTTCCGAGACAATAATTTTCCAATTTTTACATAATTCTGAATAAAGAACAACATGCTGGTTTTGGGTGAGACTTGTTTCTAAAATGAACCTGGGAAGTGTAGAAATCTCTCACCCCTCCGCAGGGACACAGTGGGGGTTTCCCTTTCACTCATTCATTTCCTCAGTAAATATTTACTGAGTACCAGGCACTGTTCTAGGTGGCCGGGATACAGCAATGAAGGCAAGTAGAGAAAAATTCTTCCTGCCTAGGAGGTCATATTCTACTGGGAAGGAGACAGAGTGTACACAACTACTCTTAAAATCATGTGTGGGGTGTGTGTGTATCTAGGCCTTCTTTAGGTCTTAGCACAGCTGTGCCTGTTACGGCAGCACACATCTCCATCCTGACAGACTGGGAGGTTCCACACTGCATCACTCATGGACAACTTCCCCCGAGAGGCCAGGTGTTCTCTCAGAATAGCAAATGGGCCCTTTTCCACTCTGTCCCTGGAACTCACAACTCCAGATCCCTTCAAAGGAACAAAATTAAATACCAACCTTAGTGTTATATGCAACCTATGATGCCTGTCCTGGAGCAGATCTTTGACAATGAATGTTCCAGAGCCCAGTAAATACATCTGAGAGGAGGAGAGGAGAGATAGCATGAGTACAATAGTCAGGCCTCTGGTTCCCATGACACACCTCACCCCACTTCGAGAGTCCAAGACAGGCTCAGAAAGAAGCTCCCAAAAACAAACATGTTTAAACACGAGTTAATATTAATTCATGAGCCACAGTGAAATCAATCTTGTGCTCACCTCTCATGTGAATGATTAACTGTAAAGCAGGAAGAAAACCCAGGAACCATAACCTGTTACTTAACTGTTCCCTGAGATCTATCTTTGACATCATACACAGATAGTTTGATTTGTGTCATCTGATTGATAAGAGAGTCTTGAAAGAAGGCGATACTGCTTAGGAAGATAGGATTGTTGGTTCCCTAGAACAGAAAAGAAAAAAAAAGTCATTGTTTTTGAAAAATACTAATATTTTCACAATGAGAAACTATTGTTTTTACTGACTTGGATCAATCCATATGCTAAGGGCACTTAAGTGGATGATATAACCAAAAAACTGCTTTCCAGAAGAGGCAAATGTAGTCTGAGGTAGCCCCTTACAGATCCAAAAACAACAACCAGGCCCTCCAGAGCTGTTCCTGGGGCTCACTCCTAACAGTTTCATAGCCGAGAGGAAGATTTTTCTAAAGGTAAAGCCAGTTCAGTGTCTGCACACCCTCGTAGCATTACAGCTTTAGGTATATTGTGGACCTGCTACTTTGGGCTGTACTTTAAGACCTACAAACAGGCAGATGAAAGGGGAAATGAATGGTTTATGTTATTATTTCTAGACTCCTATATTTGGAATAATTAAAGTCTGGCTTTTTAGGAGCAGCTGCTAGTTTCCAGATCACAGGTGGTTATTTCTGGGCAGCTCAGCCCTGCCCCACTGCTCCAACAGATTGTATCTTCTCTCAGGCCATGGTTAACCGTTTCCACCAAGTCATTACTGGTGCATTTGTGCCTCCTGTGGTGCCTGGGCCTCTGGGCTGTTCTCCCTATACCTCCAGATCTAGCCTCAGTGCCTGCTGGACAGCCTGGGCCCCTGCAGTCTTACATCATCATGTAGTACTGTGATTGACATGTAGGCAGTGCTCAAAAAAAAATGCATAGTACAGGAGGATAAATCTGAATCTGAAAACAAGTTTCTCAGAGACTGAAAGAGTGGCCTATCTTCTAAAATGTAATACTACTTTGAGAGGCTGTTTCTATGTAAAATTTTGCCTCATTATGTTTTTACGTAAAAATGTAAAAACAATGTAAGTGCAGTTAAGTTTGATAATTCACACTACAAATAAATTCCTGTAGAATTTCATACCAGCAACTCCTATACTTTGTATTATAATATACATAATATTCTCATTATCTAAAAGGACTTTGAAAAATTGTGTGGATGTTTATCAATTAATTTAAAGGGTAAGCCAGGCATAGTGTCGCATGCCTGTAATCCCAGTTCTCAGGAGGCTGAGGCAGGATTGCCATAAGAGGCCAGTCTGGGCTACATAGTGAGTTCAAGGACAGGCTGAACTACATAAGGAGACCCTGTCTCAAAAAAAGACCAAACAAATAAAAATTTTAAAAAAACTTTAATTTAAAGAGTAAACATGTAACATAAAACTCAAAAGGATATAAAAATAAAAACTAACAAAAATAGGGATATACCCAGCAAGGGGTTGGTAAGTTGTCAACTCCTCCAAGCTCTGGTTATTGAGTGCAATTCTCTAAAACCAGTAGCCAATTGGAAGTGTAAGGAAGAATTAGTTCTGACTTCTTCAAAGGCAACCAACCTTCAGCATCACTGTCAAGGACCTCCATCAGTAATTAATCAGTAACAGTAAAGGATGTGGCAAATGTGAAACACCATCCAGATGAGTAGGAGCAATGAAAACTACCAACTCGCAACTGAGTACTGAAACACAACAACTCACTTAAATATAATGAACAGCAGCTACAGGCACTCAGGAACTGAGTGACCTTCCCTTCGGGGCCACAAGCACCACAGAGCATCCTGAGTCCCTCAGAGGGGAGGGGCAGTGGCACTCACCTCAATGATCTCCGTCTGTGCATGCTTCGTCCAGAAGGCCTGAGGCGGGGTGGTGACACTCACTGCCACAAAACTATTTGGTTTCCGATCTAGCGACGGGGTATGCAGCTCACTACAGGCTATCCGACCAAGAGAGAAAAGAAATGAATCCTCTAACACCAGGCTTTAGATAGTTCCCAACAAACCCAGCAAAAATAGAAAGTGACACTTAAAGCAGTAAGACTGCACATTGTCAGCTGTCACAAGGAGGTGATGTTTTAAATTTTTTAAATTTGAAAATTTAAAAATTCTCCTCACTCCTCCTCCCCGCTCCCATGTACAAGGCAATAAGACTTTAACTGCAGCGCACGGCTATGCTGACGGCAGCTTCTGCATCCACAGCCTGGACACAGAGCCGACAACCTCGAAATGGATGGGCCACATGCACCTACAGAAGGACCTAAGTAACTGACAGCTCCAGCCAGCTGATCAAGGAGCCACAGAGCCACGGAGTACAAGATGCAGCTCTGCAACCTGTGTCCTGTGACTGTAGCTAACTGTAAGCTTCCAGTGCCACATGTGCTTGGGGTGGGAGGGGTGGATGCTGCAATAAAATTAAAAGACTATGGCAAATATAAAAAGTATTATTTTTAAGTCACTACTTATTTATTCTCCTTATAAGAGTCATATCAAATGCAAATTATTAAAAATATTACTTTTCAGAACTCAAGATATCCTGTATAACCTCTGTAGTTACACAAAAACATGTTATACTAAGGATTTTAAAATATATTACAGGTTTCAAATGATAATTCCATTATGGAAAAGACCTGGAGAAAAAAGTGATCATATTTCACTAAATCTAACAAGTTTCCTGAGATAAAATGCAGTATGAAAGGAAAATGAACCCCAGTGTCATTAAACTACGATACACCATTGACAGTGAGATACTTACTAACAAGATATTAAAATGTAAAAAAGAGTACATCTTGGTAATGATAAACTGTATGGCAAACCAAAGCTCAACAAAGTAAAAGTAACTAGGTTTGTCTAGAAATATGAATGCTGAGTTGTGCTACCTTTAAAATTAAGAATAGAAAACATTACAATTTGTTAACTTGGTTTTTCAAGATGAAAAACATTCTAGAGATGGACAGTGGCTACAGCTGACTGACAGTGTCAATACACTTAATGTCACTCAACCGTGTATTTGAAATGGCTAAAACAGTACATGTTATGCAATGTATAGCCTATCACAATTAAAAATAAAAATATTTTATCAACCCTAATTAAAAAATATGTTCTCACGCCCATAACAGGAAAGACAAGTCTGCAGTCTGGTGTGTGACACATTCTTTGGCTCTTATGGTTTGAAAGATGTCTTCACTGGGCCCCAAGTTTTAAAGGATGTTTTCTCTAGGTGGTTATTTTCTCTAAGACCTTTAAATATATTGTCTCTATTTTTATGGTTTCTATTTTTTTCTACGATGAAGTCAGCCATCAGTGTAATTATTGCTACTTTGAGCACTGTGTGCGTTGAGTGCGTGTATGCACGAGCACATGCATTTTCTGGCAGCTCTTACAATTTTTCCATTGAGTTTGGCTTTCAACAGTTTTACTATGATGTATCTAGGGATATTTTCATTTACTCTGTGACTTTCTGTATTTTATTACCTTGGGAGAAATGCTCAGCTCTAAATACTGCTTCTAGCCCTTCTCTCTTCACAGGTCTTCTGAGACACAAATGTGTACTATGTATTCTTGCTGGATTTTAATATATATTTTCTTCTGTTTTATTTTTTCCACTATTTTATCTCTCTGGCTTCATTTTGGAAGTTTTCTTCTTAACTTATATCCAAAATCACCAATTTTCTCTTCAAATGTATCAAAATGTTTTTCATATCCATCCAAAATTTTTTAAAGCAGTTATTTTATTTTTTTAATTCTACAATGCCCATTTTGTTCTTTTATGGTTTTAAAACTCCCGGATGAGGTATTCAATAGTATCTTTACATAATGTTATAAATTGAATGCTTGTAACCCATATATGTTAAAATCCTGATCCCCAAGGTGATGGGACCATATTAGGAGTTGGGGTGGTTGGGAGGGAAACATCTGCTGGTACCTTGATCTTGGACTTCCGGCCTCTAGGACTGTGAGAAATGAACTGCTGTGTTGAAGCCATCAGTCTATGATACTCTGCTACAGCCAGCCAAACTCAAAAACAGAGACAATAGCATCTGTGTGTCTTAACTCTTCATCTGGAGCCCCTGTGGATCTGTTTCTATTGTTTATTTGTTTGTGTCTCTTGCCATGTTTCTGAAAATTCATGAATTTATGCCAAATGCAACATTTTAAAAACTGTAGAAATGATCCATAGCCCAGCTAGATGCTGTCTTTCTTGGAGAAGCCAGACGATTGCTTCTGCCTGGTCCCGAGGAGCTGGTGCTTGAGGGCACCTTCATTTCCTCTGAGGCCAAGCTCCTGATGGACCCCAGTGTAAAGAGGCTGTCGAAAACCCCATTCAGCCTACAGACCTCAGGCCTGGCTCTCAGGAGTCACTGCAAATCTACACCTCTAATCCCCCATCCTAGTAACACTCTGGAGATATGGACAAGATAGGTCACAGATTTTGCTCCATTTTTCTGTTGTCCTTAATGGTAACATTCTAATTTTGTCCTTTTTTCCCCCTCATTTAAAGGTCAATTAATTTTCTTAATCCTTGTAATTTACAAGTTTCACAGGAGATGCTTGGCAATTGGTAGAACATGCTAAATCTGAAATCCACCCTTCTCTTGAGAAAGGATTTTTATTTTTTATTTAATTTGATTCACTGATTTTGCAGTACTGGAGACTGAGTGCAGGGTGTTCACACTGAGCTACATTCCCAACCTTGTTTTATTTTTGAAACAGGGTCTCATTAAGTCACCAAAGTTGCCCGAGTTGGGCTTAAACCTGTGATCCTCCTGTCTCAACCTCCCAGAGTACTGGGCTTAAGTAGTGTACCACCACACCCAGCTAGGAAAGGATTCTTGTGCTATTTGTGACCTGCTGCTCCAGTTTCTGTCTCTTTTTTTCAGGGTCTCCTAGCAATTAAATATTACAATGCCAGACACTATGACATCTCTTCATTCAAAATCTGCTTCTTGATAATTTTTGTGCTGAAAGACTATTCCTTCATATTGTTTAGGGATTCATGACAGTTTTCAGCAATGTACCACTGATTTTTTAAAAAAATGTTTTCTATCAAGAGATAAAGGGGGGGAATGATGGCCAGAAACCTTCTGTATTCGATGGAAAACATACCTAAGAAGTCCAATTTTATAATTCTGCAAAATTCACCTTCTTGAAGTACACAATTCAGTGACTTATAGGGCACTGACAGAGTTGTGCAACTATCTACTTCTTTAACATTGTCATCATCTCAAAGAAAAAAAAATCCATATAACAATTGTTCACCATCTTTCTTCCCTATCCCACCTGGAAACCACTAATTTGTTTCTGTATAGATTTGTCTAGTCTGGATATTTTATGTAAATGGAATATGACACATGGGCTTTTATGCCAGCTTCTTCCTTTTGGCATATTGTCAAGACTCACCCATGCTGAAGCAAGTATCAATACTTCCTCCCTTTTCAGCAATGAATCATGAATGAACAGCCCACATGCTGTTTATCTATTTATCAGCTGTACTTTGATTGCTTTTGAATTTTAATTATTGCAAATAATGTCATGAATAACTGCATACAACTTTTTTGTATAAACATGTTATCTCATTTCTTTTGTATTTGAAAGAGATTTTTGTAGGATATGGAATTTTTGGTTAACTGGTTTTTGTTTTGTTTTGTTTTTTTTCTTTAAGAATTTGCATGTCATCCCCCTATCTTCTGAACTCCACAGTTCCTGGTGAGAAACATGCTATTACTCTTTCTGGTAAAGCCATAGACATAGTAGGTCATGTCTTGCTTGCTTTTTAAATTCTGTCTTTGGCTTTCAGTGGCTTAATCATGATTTGTCCAGGTGTAGAACGCTTGCAGTTTATCCTACTTGGAGATCACTATGCTTCTAAGATATTTCCCATCAAATGCAGGGTTTCTGGCCATTATTTTTTCAAATAGCCTTTCTTTCCTTCCTCTCGTTTCTCTTCTTCTGGGACTCTTATAATATATTGGTACACTTGATGGTGTTCCATACCTCTCTGAGCTCTGTTCATTTTCTTTACCTTTTTCCCCCTCAGACTAAATCATCCCAATTAACCTGTCTTCCATGTTTGCCAATTTTTCCTTTTTCTATCTACAAGTGATCCCCTCTTAGTGAATTTTTCAACTCAGTTGTTGTACCTTTCAACTCCAGAATGTGTGTCACTCTTTATGGTGTCTATCTCTTCACTGATATTCTCTATTTGGTGAGATCTTGTTCCTGTATTTTCATTTAATTTTCTTGATGTGGTTCCTTTAGTTCTTTGAACATATTCATAATAGCAAGTTTTCAATCTTTGTCTAGGAAGTCAAACATCTATGCCTTTTCAGAGAGTTTCTATTGACAATGGAGTTTTTGTTTTTAAATTTCCCTGTGTATGAGGCATACTTTCTTGGCTTTTTTGCACACTTCATTTCTTTGTCTGAAACTCCAATATTTAAAATTATGCAGTGTGGCAAGTCTAGAAATCAGGTTTTTCCCCTCCTAAGGGTTTTCTGTTGTTGCCTTTTATTGACATTGTTGCCAATTAGCTAATGAAGTTCATTTTATTGTGTTATGTGTGGCCACTGAAGTGAATGCTTGGTTAGCTTGGTCAGATAGAGCTGGACAGATAGATATTCACCACCAGGAACCACAGACGTCCGATGTGCCTTCTGCTAAGGTTCTCTGTGTGTATACTGGGCACATCCTCAATGCTCAGGCAGGCAGTATAAAACTGTCTGTTGTCTCCTGCTTATACAGAACCTCCAGATCAGTCTAAAGTGACTGCTTCCAGCCTTCTTGGGTCTTTCCTGAGTACGCACCCAGCCCTAGACATGTGCACAGCCCTACACATGCACTGGCTGCTGAGAATAAGTCAGAGCTCCTCAAAAGTCACTGTGGACATTTGTTTCCCCAGCTTCCCCTTTCAGGGATTATTTGTATGTTTGTCAGCTTTTTT